GGGGGGAGGGTTCCAATAGTGTTGGCCCAATCACCTGTGTTCACTTTTCCGGGAAGTCCATGGCATCTGATCAATGTCTCAGAATTCCAAAAGGCTAAGAACCAAGAGCTAGTCCAACCTTCTCATTGTGAAATGAAGAAACAGGTCCAGAGAGGAAAGACATTTCCCCAAGCTCTCACAGATGGCCAGAGAACCCAACTCCCTAACTCCCAGTCTGGTGTTTTTCCACAGCTAACCAACTGCCTTACTTCTGGCAGGGGTGTGTCAACAACAAAGTACTAATCCTCGCTGAATATTGATACTGTATCCCAAACAAGGCTGCTTTGTTTCTCTGTCTAGGCAGGACGAGAAGTGACACTTGACAGAAATGAACTGTAAAGTGGGTCAGTCCATCCTTCTCGGGGTCCAACCTAACTTGCAAATTACAGGGAGTCAGAGCTTGCCCCCCCGCCTCCAATTCCAAAGCACCCCCTCAAGACAGCTTCGGCAGAAGGTGCTGGTTCACTAAAGGAAGGGCAGTCAAGGTGGAGGCCTCACTGCTAGTCAGCCTCCAGCCTTGTGAAGCTGTTTATTCACTCTTCGTTTTCAAGTCAGGACTGGGACAAGAACTCAACCCAGTTGGCAGGACATGACAAGGAGAAGCCCACACCTCTAATTTTATCAATTCCACCTGGAATCGAGAGAAAGAAACTCTCTGTTCCAGATTTTGATGCTTCGGGACTGGAGCATACGAAGTGGCAGATGCCCACGGAGAATGGGACAAACCCGAATACAGCTGCCCCTACTGTGGTCTCTCTGGGCTTGATCCTAGCAGGACCAGGTACGTCCCTGAGCTAGTTCTCAGAGCAGACCACAGCCCTCACCTACGCAAACTCGCAGAACTCGGTGGTGGTAAATGATTCCCCCTCAGTGTTTTCCTTTCCAAACCAGGGCACTTGTGAGAGCGACAGGAGGGTGCTATTAATAACCATGCCACAACAGCAGGTGGAAGCCAGGATGTGCGAGCGTCACCCCATCTGTCACAGTCTACATGAGCACGGTGATCCCCAAGTAGCAGTCCTCTGCTGTCTTGACATCTAGCTGTGAGGCTAGAACAGAGCTACGTTTATAAGCCGAACTCTAGAGTCTGATTCTGCGATCTAAGGCCAGGCCTTGCCTGGAGGCGGGAACCCGGGCCAGTTGCAGTGAGGCCATGAGTGCCTGAGCGCAGGAGCACTGGCTATTCTACCCCCACATCCCAGCGCCTGCTGCCAGGAACTGTAGACAGTAGGTGCTCAAGAAACCACCTGGAAGAGTGAACCAACGCTTCATACAGATTCCCTGATTCTAAGATGTGTAATTCTTTAGCACAACTTTTGAAATCAGGGTATTGTTTTATAACCTATCCTGCTAATGTATTTTATTTTTTTGTTTCCTGGGAAGTATTATTCAATCAATGTCTTACATGTGTTGGTGCCTGTCAGCCCACACTCATACAGAAACATGTTAATGACACTCATGGGACCAGAGACCCTATCATGACAATCACAGCTGGGCAGCTTTTGCAACCTTAAAATTCTTAGAGAAAGCCTTGATCTTGCTTCTAGACCCTGACTCAGAGATCAACCTCTGTCTTCCCCTCCCCTAGGTCAGTGATGCCGTCTCACGAATGTGGCCAACAACCTGGAACCCTGCCAAACAGCGCTGGAGTGAATGCCATCTGTGCTGTCAACCCGGAGAGGACGTGCCGACAACGGGACCCAGGCAGAGTCTCATGTAGAAGCCTCTGAGGAGCTCGAGAGTCTTTATTAACAGCCAACATGCAGTAAGCACTCCTACTGCCAGGCTATAGCCCCCACCAGGCTCTAGGGCTCTTTAGGCCCCTGGGCTTCCATCAGCGGGTCTTGGCACTGACCTATTTAGATGGACACAGGATGGAAACCAAGGTTGCCAGAGGGCAGCACTGACAGTGCCCTGTGAGGGTCTGTGAAGGAGCCCAGCACAGCTGAGAAGCTCAGGTCCAAGGGGA